GCCCCCTGGGCTCCCTGCTCTCGGAGAGGACCCCCCCCCCATCAGCTGCTGAGTGCCCTGCCCCAAACTTTGGGCAAGGAGCCAGCACCCAAGCCCAGCTGCCCTCTGAGTGGGCTGGGTGTGGCCGTGGTCCCTGGAGGTTGGTTCAGAGTGGGGTGTGAGGACCCCTACGTCCCTGCACGGAGCCTGGCGGTCTTCTCCAGAGGTCTCCAGCCTCTGCTGGGCCTGACTGCCTGTCCGTGAACCCGGGAGGGCTGTGAAGTCGGGGGAGGTGCAGAGGCCAGAAGGAAGCTCACAGCGTGTGTGGTCCGGCCCTTCTCACCTGGACAGGTGCCCACTCAGTGACCTGGAGAGGGGCCTGCCGGGTCTCCTGCTCCCACCTCACCTGTTTTAGCCCCTCACCTTCAGGTCCTGAGACTCAGGCCCTGGGGGGCAGTTTGGCCAGTGAGTGTGTTGCCCTGGTGCATCAGGAGGGGCAGACGCCAGCTCACCTGGAGCCCATCCGCAGGGCAGCTGCCCCGCCAGCCGGGACGGAACAATGCAGGTGGGCAGGCCCAGCACGGCTGCCTGGGAAGGGGTGCCGTCTCCCTTCCCCTCAGACCCTTCGGTCGCTGGAGGGGGCCCGGGCCTGGCCACCAGTGAAGTCAGCTGAACCTTCTCCTCACTTTCCTCCTGGCCCTGAGTCCCCTCCGGGCCCGCCATCCTGGGCTTGGTTGCCTCCAGGGACAAGGCGCTCACTCCCTCCTGAGGTCCCCCACTCCCCACGTTCAACCCTGGCCCGTCCTTTTCGGGTAAGGAGACTTGGCCAGAGAGACGTGTCCTGAGCCCGAGGGCATCACAACCTGCCGTCTTCTCGTTTGTGTCCTAGGATGAGAAGAACCAGATGATGACGACGAATGTGTGGGTGAAGCAGGTGAGTGGGAGGGACCCCCACTGCCCCCCCCGCCCCTCCCCTGCCCCTCCCCCTAGTGAGTGTGTTGCCCTGGTGCATCAGGAGGGGCAGACGCCAGCTCACCTGGAGCCCATCCGCAGGGCAGCTGCCCCGCCAGCCGGGACGGAACAATGCAGGTGGGCAGGCCCAGCACGGCTGCCTGGGAAGGGGTGCCGTCTCCCTTCCCCTCAGACCCTTCGGTCGCTGGAGGGGGCCCGGGCCTGGCCACCAGTGAAGTCAGCTGAACCTTCTCCTCACTTTCCTCCTGGCCCTGAGTCCCCTCCGGGCCCGCCATCCTGGGCTTGGTTGCCTCCAGGGACAAGGCGCTCACTCCCTCCTGAGGTCCCCCACTCCCCACGTTCAACCCTGGCCCGTCCTTTTCGGGTAAGGAGACTTGGCCAGAGAGACGTGTCCTGAGCCCGAGGGCATCACAACCTGCCGTCTTCTCGTTTGTGTCCTAGGATGAGAAGAACCAGATGATGACGACGAATGTGTGGGTGAAGCAGGTGAGTGGGAGGGACCCCCACTGCCCCCCCCGCCCCTCCTCTGCCCCTCCCCCTCACCGCCCTCCCCCCTGCTTCCCCCAGGAGTGGCATGACTATAAGCTGCGCTGGGACCCCGCTGACTACGAGAACGTGACCTCCATCCGCATCCCCTCTGAGCTCATCTGGCGGCCGGACATCGTCCTGTACAACAAGTGAGCCCAGGGTTCTTAGCTGGCAGGGTGGCAGGTGCCCGGGTCCAGCTGTGCTCCGGCCGGCAGCTCTTCCCAGGCCGGTGTAAGCAAGAGGCAGGTGGCTTGTGTGGGCCGAGGGCGGGCTCGGAAGCAGGAGGAGTGAGTAAAGGAGGGTGCTGAGGCCTGGGGTGTGGGGGGCGGGCTCATGAGCGGGCAAAGTGGCAAGAAGACGGGGTCCTGGGGGCAGCAGTGGCGCCTGGGGGCTCCGTCGCTGCCCAGGCTGGGGCAGGGGCCTCGGTCACTCACGGGCCGCGAAGGGGTCTGAGCTTCTCCCAGGATGACTGCAGGCCCTGCGGCCGCTCTCCCTCGGGCTGGAGTCCTTTCCAGAGTCGGTCCCTGTCCGGGGAAAGTGGGCCCTGCACACGCAGCGGACCGCGTCGGGGAACAAAGGCCGGGAGGTGCCGTGGAGGAAGCCGCAGACCGGCCTGCCCATGCCGGCTCGCCGCCTGCGCCCCCCGCCCTCCTCCTGCCCCTCCGTCTGTGCTCGCAGTCTCCCCAGACCCCGCTAACCACACTCAAGCAAACAAAGCCTCTGTCTGGGCCGCGTGTCCCTGGCTCTGAAATCTGATCTCTTGGAGGATGTTTCTGTGCTGGGGGGCTGGGGTGTTAGGGGCACGGCTGTGGCAGACAGTGGGCTCCAGGGGGCTGGCATCCTTGAACTTGTCCTTTCCCGGGATCTTCGAGGTGTCCCCGACCTCGGGGCAGCCTGGTGCCCTCCCGCGTCCCCGTGTCCCTGCTGTGTCATTGCCGGGCCAGCTCACCCTGAGCTGAATCCACACTGGCAGATCCAGACTCGGGCCTGGGTGGCGGCAGTTCCACAGCACTTACAGCTACGGCAAATGGAAGCACTCGGTCCCCTCTGGTCCCAGCCGTCTGCCCAGAGCCCCTGCCCTCCCACCAGGACCTCAGTGATTCTCCACGAAAGCCCTCCTGGGCCCGCAGGCTTGGGCCTGACCTACAAAATGCTGCTATTTGATTAAGCACCACTGGGCTCCCCTTCCAGCTTAACTGATTCCAGTAATGGCCGTGGGAGAGCGGCCGCACGTGGAGGAGATGGGTCTCGGGGCTGCATGAAGCGGGGGCCGCTCGGTGAACGGAGCCGGGGCGGGCTCTCGCTCTCCCTCTACAAGCTGCCCGGTCTGATCCTGCGCCCTGGCGTTCTCCAGCCGCCCGGGCCCCCCGGGTCCACGCTCAGCTCCCTCAGCCCCCTGCCCCGCTGGGACCTGGCACGGAATACGCCTGCGTGGCTCTCTGATCCAGAACATAGGTACCAGGGTCAGAACTCTGGCACCCGGGGGAGTATGGTCAGGACTGCTCCGGGAGCCATACAGCCCCTGGGATGGCAGCCCAGGAGAGTGGGGCCGCCATCAAGCCCCCTCCTTTTCTGGCCTCCTTACCAAGACCCCTGGGAGGTAGCGGGATGGACCTCCAGCTTCTCTTGGGAATGGAGATCGGCACCGAGGCCCTCTCTGGGTGGGGCTGGGCGTGGGTGAGGACAGACCCCAGAGCTGGTGGCTGATGCTGGCCGGACGGCCACTGAGGAGGCCTGTTTCCAGGGGCAGCAGGTAGCTGATGGCCAAGGCCGTGTGCACTTGAGTGAGGCCGAGCGGTCAGCACAGGCTGCTGGGCGAGGGGAAGGGTCGGGGGGGTGCTTTTCTGATAGCTTTGGGGCACCCCTTCAAGGCTGGAGGGCGTGCACGTGAGGCCATGCCACCCACCGGGGGGCTTCCCTGCCTCGGCCTGTCAGGCAGAGGGTCTCACGTGGATGGGCGTCTGTGGCCTGGAGCAGGGACGGGACCAGCCAGCTCGGGCTCCCCTCCTCCCGCGTGCGCTGTCATGCGGTCCCGCTGTCCACACCCCTGGGCTTGCTGGGGGCACAGGAACCAGCTGTGGGGGGAGGGGCGGAACTTCGTGCAGCGGTGACAGGTAGTGACAGCGTGCCCTGGGGAAAGCTGCTCCTTCCTGGGGCTGCGCTAGGCGCCGGGTCCCACGTGCAGAGCCCTAGGCCCTCTGAGGACCTGGCCAGGGCCGATGTGCCCTCAGCACACGAGTGTGAAGGCACGGGCTTGGTGACTAGGGTCCGGTGGCCCTCAGTGCTGGGGCCAGCTGTCTGGGGGGTGTCCTGGGGGGAGGAGGTGAGGTCTCCCATCAGTGTTTCAGAACCGAAGCGGCAGGGCTGCTGGAGGGGCTGGGGGAATGGCTGCCGCCTCAACTGGCCTATGGGCACCACGCCCACCACGCACGGTCAGCGTGGGCAGCGCAGGCCTTGTGGGTAAACAGGCCGACAGAGGGGCCCCCGAGGCCCAGGTGGCACCCACTCAGGACCCAGACTGGGGACCGGATGCTTCCAGCTGCAGAGGAGAGAGTGGCTGACTCTGGAGGCAAGAAGGGCTCTCGGGGGGCCGTGAGCAGGTGTCCCTGTGTCCCCACAGCCGGCTGCCTCACCTCTCGCGGTGTCAGTGTGCCCCCCACCCCACCGTGGGTGTCTTTGGTGGAGAAAACTGAGGTGGACGTCACTGTCTGGGGGGTCCAGGGCCAGGGCTGCAGGCTGGGCACTCTGCCCACGAGGAGAAGGGCTGGGACAGCAGCCCCTCGCTCTGTTGCCCGTCCCGGTCTGTGGACAGGGCACCCCAAGGCCGAGGGAGAGGCAGGAGGGCTGAGGGCCTGAGATGTGATGCTGGGGTCCACGTCCTGCCCGGGGTGGGCCCAGACTGGTCTTTGCCTCCTTGGGCCTTGGAGTCCTCCCCTGTGCAGGAAGGGGGGTCCTGCCTCTTAGCTTGGGGGGGGTGGGGTCAACGGGGAGAAGACGCCAGTCTGGAGCACGAGAAGGTGGCCGGACAGGCCCGACTTCTGCCCAGCTCCGGGGTGACCGCAGGGGACGAGCTGCTCTGCATGCTACCCAGGGGCCACTCGTGTGCCTGGGACCCCTGACGTGGCGTGGACGGCCTGTCCGGCCTCCAAGTAATCACGGTCATCACCACCGTCGAGCTTGGGCGTCAGGCGCAGTGTGGGCCGCTGAGACGGTCTCCACGGAGCATCGCCCCCAGGGTAGGGGTGGTGACAGCGAGGCGGGCAGGTGAGCAACGAGCCCAGGGCCGCCGCGTCCTGGGCGAGGCCACTGCGAAGTGGGGGCGCGTATGGCGGGCGGGGGAAGAGAGCTTCCGGGCACCTCACCCACCCCCTCTGTCTCCCACCCAGCGCGGACGGGGACTTTGCCGTCACCCACCTGACCAAGGCCCACCTCTTCCACGACGGGCGGGTGCGGTGGACACCCCCGGCCGTGTACAGGAGCTCCTGCAGCATCGACGTTACCTTCTTCCCCTTCGACCAGCAGAGCTGCACCATGAAGTTCGGGTCCTGGACCTATGACAAGGCCAAGATCGACCTGGTGAGCATGCACCGCCGCGTGGACCAGCTGGGCTTCTGGGAGAGCGGCGAGTGGGTCATCGTGGATGCCGTGGGCACCTACAACACGCGCAAGTACGAGTGCTGCGCGGAGGTGTACCCAGATATCACGTACGCCTTCGTCATCCGGCGCCTGCCGCTTTTCTACACCGTGAACCTCATCGCGCCCTGCCTGCTCATCTCCTGCCTCGCGGTGCTCGTCTTCTACCTGCCGTCCGAGTGCGGCGAGAAGGTCACGCTGTGCGTCTCCGTGCTGCTCTCGCTCACCGTCTTCCTGCTGCTCATCACCGAGATCACCCCGTCCACCTCGCTGGTCATCCCGCTGATCGGCGAGTACCTGCTGTTCACCATGACCTTCGTCACGCTCTCCATCACCATCACCGTCTTCGTGCTCAACGTGCACCACCGCTCCCCGCACACGCACACCATGCCCGCCTGGGTCCGCCGCGTCTTCCTGGACGTCGTGCCGCGTCTGCTCTTCATGAAGCGGCCGTCCGCGGTCAAGGACAACTGCCGGCGGCTCATCGGGTCCGTGCCCGAGGCGGCCGGGGCCCCGCGCTTCTGGCTGGAGCCCCGGGGCGAGCCCGAGCTCAGGAGTCGGGGCCCCGGGAGGAGGTGAGGTCTCCCATCAGTGTTTCAGAACCGAAGCGGCAGGGCTGCTGGAGGGGCTGGGGGAATGGCTGCCGCCTCAACTGGCCTATGGGCACCACGCCCACCACGCACGGTCAGCGTGGGCAGCGCAGGCCTTGTGGGTAAACAGGCCGACAGAGGGGCCCCCGAGGCCCAGGTGGCACCCACTCAGGACCCAGACTGGGGACCGGATGCTTCCAGCTGCAGAGGAGAGAGTGGCTGACTCTGGAGGCAAGAAGGGCTCTCGGGGGGCCGTGAGCAGGTGTCCCTGTGTCCCCACAGCCGGCTGCCTCACCTCTCGCGGTGTCAGTGTGCCCCCCACCCCACCGTGGGTGTCTTTGGTGGAGAAAACTGAGGTGGACGTCACTGTCTGGGGGGTCCAGGGCCAGGGCTGCAGGCTGGGCACTCTGCCCACGAGGAGAAGGGCTGGGACAGCAGCCCCTCGCTCTGTTGCCCGTCCCGGTCTGTGGACAGGGCACCCCAAGGCCGAGGGAGAGGCAGGAGGGCTGAGGGCCTGAGATGTGATGCTGGGGTCCACGTCCTGCCCGGGGTGGGCCCAGACTGGTCTTTGCCTCCTTGGGCCTTGGAGTCCTCCCCTGTGCAGGAAGGGGGGTCCTGCCTCTTAGCTTGGGGGGGGTGGGGTCAACGGGGAGAAGACGCCAGTCTGGAGCACGAGAAGGTGGCCGGACAGGCCCGACTTCTGCCCAGCTCCGGGGTGACCGCAGGGGACGAGCTGCTCTGCATGCTACCCAGGGGCCACTCGTGTGCCTGGGACCCCTGACGTGGCGTGGACGGCCTGTCCGGCCTCCAAGTAATCACGGTCATCACCACCGTCGAGCTTGGGCGTCAGGCGCAGTGTGGGCCGCTGAGACGGTCTCCACGGAGCATCGCCCCCAGGGTAGGGGTGGTGACAGCGAGGCGGGCAGGTGAGCAACGAGCCCAGGGCCGCCGCGTCCTGGGCGAGGCCACTGCGAAGTGGGGGCGCGTATGGCGGGCGGGGGAAGAGAGCTTCCGGGCACCTCACCCACCCCCTCTGTCTCCCACCCAGCGCGGACGGGGACTTTGCCGTCACCCACCTGACCAAGGCCCACCTCTTCCACGACGGGCGGGTGCGGTGGACACCCCCGGCCGTGTACAGGAGCTCCTGCAGCATCGACGTTACCTTCTTCCCCTTCGACCAGCAGAGCTGCACCATGAAGTTCGGGTCCTGGACCTATGACAAGGCCAAGATCGACCTGGTGAGCATGCACCGCCGCGTGGACCAGCTGGGCTTCTGGGAGAGCGGCGAGTGGGTCATCGTGGATGCCGTGGGCACCTACAACACGCGCAAGTACGAGTGCTGCGCGGAGGTGTACCCAGATATCACGTACGCCTTCGTCATCCGGCGCCTGCCGCTTTTCTACACCGTGAACCTCATCGCGCCCTGCCTGCTCATCTCCTGCCTCGCGGTGCTCGTCTTCTACCTGCCGTCCGAGTGCGGCGAGAAGGTCACGCTGTGCGTCTCCGTGCTGCTCTCGCTCACCGTCTTCCTGCTGCTCATCACCGAGATCACCCCGTCCACCTCGCTGGTCATCCCGCTGATCGGCGAGTACCTGCTGTTCACCATGACCTTCGTCACGCTCTCCATCACCATCACCGTCTTCGTGCTCAACGTGCACCACCGCTCCCCGCACACGCACACCATGCCCGCCTGGGTCCGCCGCGTCTTCCTGGACGTCGTGCCGCGTCTGCTCTTCATGAAGCGGCCGTCCGCGGTCAAGGACAACTGCCGGCGGCTCATCGGGTCCGTGCCCGAGGCGGCCGGGGCCCCGCGCTTCTGGCTGGAGCCCCGGGGCGAGCCCGAGCTCAGGAGTCGGGGCCCCGCCCCGCCCCCGACCCCGTCCTGCGGGCCGGACCGGCCGGCCTGCACATCACCCTCGGACCAGGCCTCTGCTCTGCGGCCCTCAGAGGCCGAGAAGGCCGGCCCCTCCCCCTCGCCCGGGCCCTGCCGCCCACCCACCAGCACCCGGGCCCCAGGGCTCGCCAAGGCCCGGTCCCTGAGCGCCCAGCACGTGTCCGGCCCCAGCGAAGTGGCAGAGGGCGGCGTGAGGTGCCGGTCCCAGAGCATCCAGTACTGCGTGCCCCGAGAAGAGGCCGCCTCCCCAGCCGACCACCCGGCGGACGGCTCCCCTGCCTCGCTGACCACGGCCCCCTCGGCCGAGCTTCCGCCCCCAGACCAGGCCTCCCCCTGCAAATGCAAGTGCAGGACGGAGGCGGAGGCACCACATGCCGCGCTCAAGGCCCCCGGCACCGGCGCGCCGCCCCAGCCCCTGTCGCCAGCTCTGGCGCGGGCGGTTGAGGGAATCCAGTACATTGCAGACCACCTGAAGGCGGAAGACAAGGACTTCTCGGTAAGTCCCCGCCACAGCCGTGCCGGACGGGCCCCGCTGCCCTGTCCACTCTGAAGGAGGGGGTGGCTGGTGAAAGACCCAGAAACCAGGTCCCAGAGCCGACTGCTCAGCTTGGAGGCCCCCCACCTCCACCCCGCCATCTGCTCCCTCTGCCCCAAGCCTCCGAGACCAGCAGGGGTTCCTGCGGTGACTGAGTGGCTGGTGGAGAGCAGAGTGGATCTCGGGCACCCCCTTGGGGCTTCAGGGCGCGGGGAGCCTGCAGGCGGGGGTGGGGCTGCCAGCACCATCTGTACCTGGTGAGCGCCTCCCCCGACCTCGAGCGCCCCCCACCCCGCCAAGGGCTCCCAGAGAAGGACTGGGGGGTGTCTGGGCCCTGGGGTTGGGGTGAGAGGGGCTGAGTGGCCTCAGCGGCCTGGCGCGGGGAGAGAATTCAGGCCTGGGACACAGCCCTGCCTCTCTGGCCGGTGCCCCTGTGCCCAGCTGGGGAGAAGGCCCCCCCGGGGTCTGGGTGGGCAGGGCGGGTGCTCAGACACGGCCGAGACTCAGGGCCCCGTGGAGTTGGTGGGGGGCGGCAGTGGAGCTGCTCCCCGAGGCTCAGGCTCCACTGGCCATGTCGTGGGTGCCTGCGAGGGTGGGTCCAGGCTGGCGGCCGAGCCCCAGTTCAGGGCATGGGCAGAGACAGGCGGGCAGGGGGAGGGCACCGGTCAGTCAGCCTGGTCATTACCGGCTGCTCAGCCCGGGCGTCGGTTATGCCGCGTTGACCTCGCCCCGCACTAGCTCCTTCTTGCCCGTGACATGGACCCTGGGGGTGGGCGTGACACTGCTGTCCCCTCCCTGGACCTGGGGGTGGGCGTGACACTGCCATTCCCTCCAGGAACCTCCTGGTCCCTTTGCTCCCTTGGGAATGGCCCGTGATCGTTTCCCGGACACACGTGATCCCTGGGGACCATCTGTCCCGTGGCTGAGCCCCGCCTCCAGCAGTGAGCCGGTCTCCCTGTACCGGCTGGTCATCCCCGTATGACTGGCTGGTCATCCCCCTGAATCCCAAGGGTCTGTGAGGCCACCTGGGGGTTTCTGGAAGGTTCCGTCTTGCAGCCAGCTCTTGAGACGAGAGGAGCTCTGGCTCTGGCGAGGGCTTGAGGGCCTGCTGAGCAGAGACTGACGCCTTTGAAGTGTCACCAGGATCTCGGAGGCCCAGCGGTCTTCAGCGCAGGGCCGGCCCCTCGTCCCCAGACCCCTCCACCAGCATCGCGGGCCTGGCTGTGGTGACCTGGTTCTGGTTCCGGGCGTTGTCCCCGGGCTCTGGGGAGCAAAGCGACTTCACAGGAGCCAGCCTGGGATCCGGGCTGGGGCAGCTTTGTCTGCGAGCATTTCATCCTGGGGGGAGGGGCAGTTTGAAAGTCAGCGCGGAGGCCGCGCGCTGCAGGGCTGCTTCCTGGAACAGAGGGTCCTGGCGCTCCCTCACTTATAGTGACCCCGTTTGCTCTGGTTTCCTGAGAATAAACACGGCTCTTTCAGCTTTGGCTTAAAACTAACAGGACGTCTCTGATTACTTTAAAAATCAGAGCACAAAACAGCAGTGAAAAGTCTTCTTTCCCTCGACGGCCCCAAAACGGGGTGTGATGAGCCTGCCCTTGCCCAGGCCTATCAGACCCACTGGCGTCTGGCTGGCCTGAGTCTGGGGGCCGCATCCTTTCTGGTCACTCAAGGGCTGACAGCTGCCCACCCAGGATCCACCTGTGGCCTCCCTGAGCCTTTGCCCTGGGGTCACACCAGGTGGAGGCCGGGACCTGCTCACCCAGTGTGGACGTGTAACCATGGCCCATCCTGCGCTGCCCGGGGCCTCAGGGTCCCACCTGCAGATGGGATGGTGCAGTCACCTTCCTCGTTGGGTCCAAGGGAGCAACCACAGGTGATGCACTCAGCGTGTTTCCCACTTCAAGCCTGGGATCCCCCACATGCCCTTCCACAGAGCCCTCTGCCCGGCAGCCGCCCGGCTCAGAGGCAGCACAGGGCTGTGCCCTCCTTCATGTGTGACCCTCACTCTCAAGCGGCTTTAGGGACAGAGCCGAGGGATCCCCTGACCCATGAGGGGCTCGAGCCACATGGGCAGCCGTCCATGAGTGCCGCCCCCGGGGCAGGGGGCAGGAGTGAAGGGCAGTTGGGACTCAGCTGTCACTCTTGGGACGCCGTCCACCGTGGAGCCTGCCCTGGGCTTTTTTTGGTTGGAGGCCAGGCCCCGTTACTCAGGCTGCTCCTGGCTCTTGCCCTGCACAGCCAAGGGGCTGTGGGTGCCCCCTCCCTGGGCCTCACTTGCCCACCTGCAAATGGGGGTGTACTGGCTGGTCCCCACAGTGCCGCCAGCTTTAGCAAACCCAGAGCACGTTACACTGTGACACAGTGTGGACTCTGGCGTTCCTCCAGAGGCATCACTACCTTCTTGGAGCTCAGGCAGGTGAAGTCAGGTGGGGCCACCATGCTGGACCCTGTCCCCTGCAGTGGCTCTGCTGTCCAGTCCCCGCAGAGTGCATTGACCCCGCAGCCCACTGCTTCTGAGCCCGGACTTGAGCTGGACAAGCCGTTTCTCTGAGGCCCCTTTCCACCCCTCACCCCAGTACAGGTGTGCCTGTGACCCTGGAGGCCAGGATAGGAACAGAGCTTCCGGAAGGTTCGCACTGCAGTGAGGCCTGAGGGTGCGGCCGGGAGTGACCGTGTGTGTCTGTCCGCAGGTGAAGGAGGACTGGAAGTGCGTGGCCATGGTCATCGACCGCATCTTCCTCTGGGTGTTCATTCTCGTCTGCCTGCTGGGGACGGTGGGCCTCTTCCTGCCGCCTTGGCTGGCCGGCATGATCTAGGGGGCTCCCCGCACTCGATGCGGTCACGCCATTGACCAGATTGCCCCCCATCATCTGTCTGCTGTGAGACGGCCTTGGAAACTGCCTCCTGGGGACCTGCCCGGGAGGCTGGTAAACGCCTGTCTATCTGCGGGGCGGTGTATCCGGAGCATGGTGACACGATGGCCTCCCGCCAGGACGCACGTCTGACCGCTCTCGGCAAATGTCCCAGCAGCCCTGACTGTCCCAGGGCCACGCCCCGTGGCCACGCTCAGCCCCTCTCAGCCCCCAAAGCCCCTCGTCCCTGTGGGATCCCCGAGGCCCAGGCACTGAGCCGGGCCTGGCTGCCTCTCCCACCCGGGCCTGGGGCACCCGTGGGTCCTCAGACCTGCTCTCTCTGACCCCAGAGGCGAGTCAGCAAACATTCGAACCTCATTTGCCAGGGGAGGGTCCAAGCAGGGATTTTATTTTGGTCTGTTCTGGGTAAATTAACGAAAACCCAGATTTTGTGCCTGAGGGGCCTTGGGGATGGAGTGATGAGACGTGGTCCTGCTCCGAGGAGAATCCAGTGGTGAGGTATCCTCAGCCCCAGGGAGTCCAGATGTCTGCCTTCCAGGGGTGCCGGGGGTCTCGGGCCAGCACTTCGCAGGGGCCTGTGATGCCCCAGACCCCCGTGGGCCCTGGTACTTTGTGAGGGACCCAGAGCCACGTTCAGGACTGGGCTCCCCGACACCTCCCGTGGGTTCCCCTCTGCTCACAGCCCGGGGACCCCTCTGGGGCATAGACACAGGTAGGACTTCCCTGACACAGTAGCGGTGACCTGGGGGGACCCGGGGACAGCTCATCTGGCCGGCTTGGAGACCCTCTGGAGTGTGGTCCCTGGGGGTGGAGCCCCTGAGAAACATCGAGGGGGTGGAGGGGACCCTCCACAGGCCTCCCCCCAGCCCAGGAGCCCTACATCACACCATGCGGGGGCTGCCCTGCCCGAGGTGGTGGGGGGAGGTGCGCAGGCAATGGCCCTGGGGGCCCAGTGTCCCCCCACCCCAAGGCTAAGCACTGGGCGGCACCAACAGTGTCCCTGGAGACTCTGGGAAACCACCAGCCCTGGGGGTGGTGTCGGGGTGGGCGAATGCTGCCCCCCGACCTGATTCTTCCAAACCTTCAGGCTCCAGGTGCCAAGGCGGGTCCTGGACAACGTGGCCCCTCCCCCAGGAGTGGCACCTGGGTGGGTGGCCCCCCAGGCCGAAAGAATCGCTCCCCCTTTATGGTCAAGCTCCCACCTCCCCAGACCCCATGCATGGGGGGTGTGGCTGGCAGGTTGGAGCCAGCCCCCTTGGAGCCCTGGGTCTCCCCACTCCCCAGGCTGTGCCTGGGTCCCGCACAAGGTGCTGGGAAGGATGGAGTGAATAATTTAGTGAAGTTCAGAGATGCTGCTGTAGAGATGCAGCTGGAGGGCAGCGCCAGGCTGGAGGAGGCTGGAGGAGGCTGGAGCCTGCAGCCCCCCAAGCCCGCCGCCTGTGAAGCTTGGGACGGCCCCCTGGACACCCAGGCCCCCATCTGCCCATCTCTGATCGGCACCTGCCTCCTGGGGCCATTGGGGCACCAATCCCAGGATGCTGGGGGAGAGCCCGGGTGGGCATTCCCCAGGACCCAGGACCGGGGGGCGCAGAGCGGGGGAGGGCCAGGCCCCCGAGGACGCAGCCAGGACGCAGATCTCAGATGTCAGCGCCTCAATCCTCCTTATGTAAGCGGATCCAGCGCCAGATATGGGGCAGCTGTGGGGAGCCCTGGGGGTGCCCAGCTGCAGATGCTCTTTTCTGGGTCGGGAGACAGCAGGAGCCCCAGGGATGGGGATGCTTCTCCTTTCTGGTTTCCACTTTTTCTGGTTTTTGAGACCCAAACACAAGTCAGAAAATCCACACACAGAATACATCACCCACATTCCCACCAAATTAACCATGACCACTCTTTTGCGGTATTTGCCTCCAGGGTTTTTGTTTTGTTTGTTTTGATTGACATGAAATTTACCTATGTCAAAATGCCTGGTCTTAAGCCCTCAGATCAGTGAGTTTTACAAGATTCGACCTCAAGGCCCTCATCCCCCAGAGCCCCCTCCAGCCCCTTCCAGCCTGTGCCCCCGTGGCAGTGATGGCTCTAATTTCCTCACCAGAGGTGGTCTCTGCCTGTCCCTGACCTTGGTATGAGTGGAACCCCCCGTTCTCAGCCTTTCTGTCCTGGTCTTCCACCAGGTGAGGTGCGGTCAACACCCACCATGGCTGTGTCTCCATCCATAAACAGTTTTGTCGTTAGTTGCTGAGTCGTGTTCTTCTGTCCAAATAAACTAAAGCAAGTCTGTGTCTCCGTCACCTGTGCTGGCCTCTGTCCGGTCACTCTGACTCAAGCCGCTGTGTGCAGGTCCCGCTGGGCGTCCTCCTCCTTTTAGTGTTGACTGTTTCATTTTCTGTGTCTTGTGATGTTTTGACACCTTGGGGGCCTCACACACCCGGGAGAGGGTTGTTTCAGCACCATTTGTTGAAACACTGACCCTTCTACATTAAAATGCCTAAAAACAGTTTCCTCATATACTTTCCGGGCTTTTTAATGGTTTTTGGTCCGGTATGGGTTACTCCATCATGGCTAGAAGGAGAAAGCTGTATCTTGTCTTTTAATGCAATCTTTTGAAGAGTTAAACTCCCCGCTATTTGTTGTAATTTCTGCCTCACTGGGGTATGGTTAGGCTGCGTCTCTCTTATTTCTCTGTTTGCGTGTGTTCTATCCCCCGACATAGAAGAAAACTTGATCTAGTGGCTAATCTTGAAGGTTTTATGTTCATTGTTTTCCTTCCTGGTGGCTGCTCCTAACTTAAAAAGAGTGTTGGTACTTTTCAAGAGCTTAACAAGATGATATGAAAACTGTCTCCATCATGCCTCCCGCCTCCAAAGAAAGCAAGCACCTCGGCTGCCCTCAGGGATTCTGGAACAGCCTGGAATCTAGTCTAGGTTGCCACCGATGTGATGGTCTGGGGAAGGCTTGACGATTCTGTGAACGACGAACGTCACTAGGGTTTTGACTTACCTGGGATTTTCCGTGTACCGGGCCTAAGTGCTGGTTACTTTCCCTTTCTGCAGAAAACGTCACCAACCAGATTTCAAAGAGGATCCCCTGTGACGTGTGACCTGCCTTCTCAGACTTTGTGGGCCTCAGAATGTATTTTCACCCTGTTCGTTTCAGGAGTAATTCTGCTGGGCATAAAATTCGAGCCTTATTCCCTTCAACACTCTGAGGTCATTTCCCCCACCTTTTGACGCAGGGCGACTCTTGTCTTTTTGTAGAAAAGCGTTTAAAGAATTTCCCCACCGTCTTCGTTTTTTTGCATCAGTGAATCTAAGGGTATGTTTTAAAAGTCGGTCCCACTTCACCCTCTGAGACTTTCCATCTGGGATTTTAAATCCTTCTCTAATTCTCAAATCTTTAAAAAAGTACTTATTTCAACATTCTGCCCCTCCATTGACTTCCTGTTTCTTCTTGGAGCCCCTCATGAGGATGCAACGCTTTTTCCATTTTTATCCTCCCCTGAGCCCCTGGGTGGCTTCTCTCCCCTGAATCCCACGGCCTGTCTGAAGTTGGGCCCGTAATTACTGAGCCTCTGCCTCACCGACTTTATTTCTTCGTTTCCCATGCCACGTTTCCTCGCACCTGTGCATTTCAGCCCCATGTTATTACTACCCGTCCTTCCCTCTTTGAAGATACTGTAATTTTAAATTAATGGACGAAAGGGGACCCGCATTCTCCTTCAACTCCCGAGACCTGCTCGGCGGTCGTGCGACTCACATGTCACGTGTCCCGTTAACTCATCTCCTAAACCCGGGAGCAGCGCTCCGCGCGTGAATGTGCGGGAGCACGTGTGCCCACAGGGGGAGGTGCACGCACGTGCGCGCGCGCGTGTGTTTGTGTGTGTGCGCGCGTGCGCGCACACGGGAGTGGGGGGGAAATTGGGGAGGGACGTTTACTGTCCTGTGAGGGCTTCATGTCAGCCCTCGAGGCACCTCAAACCATAAAGGGCCAGAGGCGATGCTACTGGACAGGGTGGTTGGCAGGGGCCAGTGCCCACTCCTGCCCATCTCGCCCTTCCTGCGGGAGCGGCGCCTGCCTCCTGAGCAGGTGTTCCCCGGCTCTGGAGCCTTCTCCTCTGCCCCTTGCCAGCCGCATCCTGACAGGTGGTCTCTGGCAGCGTCCACCCCCTCCTGCTGCTGCCCCCTGCCCTCCCCGCCCGGCCTTGGAGACACGAGGGACTCAGTCCTGGGACGAGCCGTCTGTTTCACTGCTGCTCTGAGATGGCAGCACCCACACTCTGCCCCCGTGAACCCAACTCTTGCCAACGCCCCCAGCCCCTCCCCCCACCACCTGGCTGCTCTTGGGCCCCTGGACCCCACCTCGCCCAGGGCTCAGCCCCCGCCCACCCTTTCCAAGCCGTCACCTCCCCAGTGCAGCCACCTCCATGCCAGTGGGCGTCCCCCCCACCTGGCCACCTGCACTCTCATCTACAGCTCGTTCACACAGACGCCAGGTCACGGCAGCCCCTGCCCCGCTCCCCGCTCCCCGGGCTGACCCCTCCCTGGCTTGTGCTCAGCTCACTCTGTCCTCCTGCCATTTCTGGGTCAGGCGCAGCCAGGCCCGGCCCCAGGCTGCTCACGGGCGGCGCCCCTGCCCGGAACGTTCCACGGTCTCCTCCTCCCACCCTGTCCTGTCTCTGCCCCAGTGTCACCTCGGAACCTTCACCGGCCCCGCCCCCGGTTCATCCTGGTGTTCGGGGAACTGCTTGGCCCCAGGGCCCACGGCTGGCTGGCGAGCCTCCCAGGCGGATGGGGAGCCGGGGGTGGGGTGGGGGGAATGGGCACTGCACAGACGGTGGCGTCCCGGCTGGTCACAGGGAGGGGGAGGCGTGCGGGGCAGTGACGAGGCGAGGGGCCAGCGGGTTGGGGTCCCACGAGGCCTGAGCACACAGGGGCTGAGCCAGACTTTTCGACTCTAGGGGAGGGGCCGCTACTACGGAGGCAGGGAGCCCCTGGCTGGGCCCGGGGCAGCCACACCAGCGTTCTCCAAGCCCACCCCCACCCTGCGGACTCAGAGTGCAGCCGAGGCTGAGACCCCCAAGCGGGGCCTGAGCTCTGGAGGGGCCGGCCGGGGGCACCGGGGCACCGGGCCCTGGGGGCTGCAGTGGCCTCACAGGAAGCGGGGGCCAGCCCCAGGGTTACAGGGAGACTGTGGCGGGGGGTCCTTGAGGCCGAGGATGGATGGCGGCTCCTCTCCGAGAAACGGGGGTGGGGAATCGGGGGCTCCACCCGACGGGGCGGACGTGGGGCCCCGCCAATGAGCAGCCCTCTCCTCGACAAGCACACGTGGTTCATCTGAACAGGCAGCGCACGGAGGAGCGGCCCCCGGGCCCGGCCTCGGCGCCCCTCCTTCCGCCTCCAGACCCTTCTCCAGCTGCGCTCGGCGTCCGGGGTCCGGCGGGGGGACATTCGGGCTCACTCGGGGCAGCAGGGGGACCGTCCTGGCAGGAGGAATGGGTGGGCCCGGCTTGCGTGGCTGCGTGGAGCAGGCCCCCGGGTCCCGGTTGGACCGTGAGCCCTCCGCACAGACCCGCCCCTCAGGACGCTGCCCCCTGGGCCCCTGCCCCGGCCAGCCAGCCTGGCCGGGTGTCCACTGTGGTGCTGACCCCCATCAGGGCCTCCCTGGGTTCCCACTGGGCCAGCTTCGGTCTCCCGCACCCACCTCAGCCCTGCTGGCTCCCCCGAGGCCCCCACACGCCCCATTGCGCCCACCCCAGTTGCTTCTCTGGCACCCGCACGACTTTCCCCACTGCTCCCACCCCCGCACCGCTCCCCGCTGCGGCCCAGGGCTGCCTGTCCGACTGAGGGCTCCAGGCTCAGCCGAGGGGAAGGAGGGATGTGCCGGACCAAGGGGTGCAGGTGGCAGTGCTTTCCCTTCTTGAGGGTCCTATGCTGACCTGGGGAAGGTGGGTCCTGGGGGCAGCGGGTTCCAGCCTTCGGGTTGAGGCTGAAAGCTTAGGGTCGGGGGTCCCTGACCTTAAACAGGCACTGATAATTGTCTCAGAGGCCGGGGTTTAGTGTGCGGTGGGGACGGGGGAGGGGGCTGGGGTGGGCATCATGACAGTGCCTGCCAGCTTTGGACGGCAGGTACAAACGGGGGGCACGTACGGCAAAGACAATGTCTGGGGGACTGTGGTGGGTGCAGTCGGGGGGTCCCTTCTCCGCCCATCCCCGTCCACCCCCCGCCCTCGGCGCAGAACTGTCTTCCCAGCCGCCACATCCCACCCCCACCCGTCTCCTTCCTCCCCATCGAGACCACAAGCTCCGTCTCCCCTCATCAACTTCTCCATCCATCTCAGCATCTAGCATCTGAGCCGTGAACAGCGCCGCAGCCCCAGTCAGATGGACGGACTCATTACAACAAGGTCACTGGACCAAGCCTCCCGCTGTGGCAGCCAAGGAGAGGGGGACAGATCAGGGACGGGAGGGAGGGGACCAGAGGTTGGGGAGGAGGCCCTAAGCTCAGGCTTGCTGGGAGGTTGGGGAAGGGACTGTTTCGAGGGCCCCAGGCAGCCAGGCAGCCCCAGTTCTGTGTGGGTTCAGGGGGCCTGTCTCCCCACCCATCACCTGGGGGAAGAGGGCCACACAGAGCCACCAGCCCTAGGACTGGGGGAGACCCTTCCCCACGGGGGCCAATACCTCTGTCCTCTGGGCGGGGGCCACCGTGCCCCCCTTCTCCAGGGAGCCGGGCCTCTCTGCGCGTGCCGAAGGCCCTGGAGGCCTCCAAGATGGGCATGGGGGGCCGGGTGCTCTCGTGGGTGCAGGCGTGGAGCTTCAGCAGGTGCGCTGCAGGGGGGGAACGGTCAGAGGGGGCGGGGCAGGGAGACCTTCCCTCGCTCCCTGCCTTGGTCCGAGGCACGTGGCCCAGGAGCACGGCCGCAAGGCTGGGTTCGCTAACGACTGGGCGCCGGGCGTCCCTTCCCTCCTGGGTGAAGGCAGAGGCTCTGGGGTCCTCACGGGAGGCTGGGCCACTCACTCTGGATGGCGGACTCGCAGGCCTGGCCCACGAGCTGGTAGATGGTGGCCAAGGACTGTGGCTCGCCCTGGAAGGGGGGATGGGCCACGTGGCCAGCGGATTGAGCAGCCCGAGCCAGTGCCTCCCTGTGCTGCCCCAGGGACGGCCCAGACCCCAGACTCCCAACACTCACCTTCTCTCCTCGCTCCCCCTTGGGCCCCGGCAGCCCCTGAGTGGGAGGAAAAGGAGAAGCATCTGGACCTCGTGGCTGCCCACCCACTGCGCCCCCCAACCGAAGGCTTCGTGCGGGACTCATCCCAGGAGTCCCCAGAGGACAGAGGACCCACCTCTCTCGCTGCGAGAGGGAGCTTCCCTGCCCCCCGGGCCCCACCCAGCCTGCAGGCCCAGGTCTGCCCCTCCCCGGCCCCCAGAGCCCACATCCCCTCACCTGCCCCCGACCTTGTCTGTGTTGGGCCGGGCAGAGGGCAGCCTGGGCTCTCTCCCCTGCAAGCTTTGTGCCGGCCTCGCTCTACAAACGTGCCGGTCGCAGGACACCCCGAGCGGTCAGCGGGGACAAGTCTACACACATGTGACCCCACCCTTGCTGTCGGGCGGGTGGGCTGGGGAGGGAGGGGCTTACCGTGGGCCCCACAGCACCCGGGGGTCCTCGCTCCCCACTGCTGCCTCTGGCCCCCGCCGTGCCCTGGAAGCCCTGCAAAGGCGGGG